AAGGAGTTGATTATGGAGCTGATGTAGCAGATTGCAGAGATGAGGGTGAAAATGCAAAGGAGACATGATCTTCCCCCACAAGGATTTTGTGCTAATGCTGCTTATGGGAGGCCTCCAATCTACTTCCCTTTCTCAAATATGGATCCAACTCAGAAAAATACATAAACACCTGTTTATAATCCGTCGATTATAGATCTGACTCCCCAAAATCCCCAATATGCTTCTGCATCCTACCAAACTCCATCTCCTTTTCAAAACAACTATCCCTAAATGCCACCCCATCCTCAAAATACTCACCATCAAACCGGTTTACCGCCACAAAATCAAAACCAAAACCAGAACAAAAATGCTTTAAATCCCCAAACACCTCATCACCATTTAAATCAGAACACCAATCCTCAGGCCTACCCACAGAATAACCAAACCGCCCAAAATGCTTAAAGTCCCTCTATCGCCCCACCCAAAGAGAGCTACTTTTCAATTTTTCATCCATGCCGAGAACGATGTGCAAAGTTCTGAGTTGGACCACTACGAGGATCAAGAAAAGGAATGGAGGTCAAAGGAAGATGTAAGGGTCGATATAAAAGAGGAAACCAAGATGTCCATGAAGGAACTACAATGCATCCCCTACGTCGCTGCACTTAGTTGTGAGGACTTGTGCATCCACCCAAATTTGGACCTTCCAGAAGGATTCAAGATTCCGGAGTTTGACACCTTCGGAGGAGTGGGTAACCCTATGGCTCATTTGAGAGCCTATAGTGACTTGCTCGTGGGATTTGGAAGGGACGAAGATTCATTGATGTAGATATTTAGTCGGAGCCTGTGTGGAGAAGATCTCAAATGGTTTACCTCACACGAAACCAGACAATGGCCTTGCAGGAATGCATTGGCCAAAGAAATAATTGATGAATTCTCTTACAACATTGAAATAGTTCCCGATTGGTACTCTCTGGAGAAGATGAAGCAAAATTTAATAAAAATCTATACGGATTTCTCCTATAGATGGAAAAAATAAGCGGCAAGGGTAAGGTCACCCATGACGGAGAAAGAAATAGTTGAAGTGTTCGTACGCATGCAAAACCTTATATATTATGATAGAATCATATCGCTTGTTAGAGCTAAGTTTGCCGAGATAGTCAAGGTTGGTGAGAATATCAAAGATGGTTTAAAATTGATAAAGATAGCCGCATCACCTGGGTCTTCGGGTTTTTTGAGAAAGAAAAGAGAAAAAGTTGTTGATGTTTCATATGGAGGAAGGAAAAACCCTAGAAGCTCATCATATTCACAAGGTCGTTCTCGGCCTTCCCCAAAGTCCTACCAATCCTGTTATACTCCATCAGTCATCCCAACAATCAGAATGCTACATCCATTTATCCAAATGTCTAAGCTCCCGTATATCAAAGTCCACTACCAAATTTCCAAATTCTTTCTCATGTACCCAAATTACCCTCAACCTTACCAAATTCCATCTCCCTATCAGGGTATTGCTTCCAACTGTGCTAACGTACAGTCAACCTACCAAGCACCCCCTCCTGTTTATCATGTCCAAGATCCACTGTACGGAAATCCTCCTCCGAATTACCAAGCTCCATCGCCAAATTACCAAACAAATCCATACCCTAGAAGCCAAGCTCCCTGTCCAAATACTAGAAATTATCAACTAGTGCCTCCTCCTCAACAAGGCAATAATGACCCTCCCCGACCCTGATTTTAGAAGAGACCTTCAAGGAACTTTACATCGACCTTGTGGGGCCCAAACCACGTGGATGTCAATTTAAAGTTCTACAAACCCGATCAGAGATGTTCTTATCATTCCAATAGTATTTGGCATGATACTGAAGATTGTATCAACCCAAGCACAAAATTCAGGATCTTATTGATCAAGAGGTAGTCTCTCTCCAACCGGCAGCACCAAATGTCAACACCAACTCGTTGCAGAATCATGAAGGAAGCAATATCAATATGATTGAGACAGATGAAGACTGTTGTGGAACGAAGATGATTACTCCCATTGTTCACAATGATTTAGAGGGAGCTGTCGCTTCTTTAAGATTCAAAGAAAAGTGAGAGGGTGTTATTTTGACACCTTCAAAGGTTGTTGCCGTGGTGCCGTCAGAAACTCTCGTCAAGCCTATGTTTCCTGCTGCTCAAGGCATGACCAAATCTTGAAAGTGTTAAACTCTTCACAAGCTTGCTCTTTGAGTACAGAAGAAAGATCAGGCCAGAAGGTCAATACGCTAAGGAGAAGCAGAGGAATTCCGGAGAAGGATGCATCCAAAGGATTATTCCATCGTCAAACTTTTAGAGAAGACTGCAGGTCAGATCTTCGTATGGGCCCTTCTAATGAGCTCTCAATCCCATAAACACTCCTTAATGAAAGCTCTCCATGACACGTACGTACCCGTAGGCACAAGTAGCGATAATGTGGCCGCCATGATTCACCTGGTTATTTGAGGGTTTCGAATAAACTTTTGTGAAGATGAGCTGCCTACCGAGGAGAGGTCTCACAATAAGGCATTACATATAACTGTGATATGCCGCAAAAAGGTTGTCAATCGCGTTTTAGTAGATGATGGATCTTGTCAGAATATCTGCCCATTGTCGACATTGAGGCGGCTAATGTTTGACCTTGGGAAACTGGAACAAAATCATGTCAACATGAGAGCCTTTGATGGGATTCAATGAGACACATTGGGATCAATGAATTTGACCATTAAAATGGCCCCCACAAAATTCAGCACACAATTTCAAGTATTGGATATCGATACCAGATACAACCTTCTTCTGGGAAGGCCATTCATCTATATGGAAGGAGTCATCCCCTCTACTCTCCATCAGATTATGAAGCTCGTGTGGCAGAACGAAGAGCTTGTTATTCATGGCGAGGGGAGTCACTCTGGCATACATACACCAATAATTGATGAGGTATCGCGAGGTGCGGACTTTTACACGGTGGAGCTGGTGAAAGCCACCGGTAACAACTTGGCCCCACACACCCCCATGCCTACCGTGTACAAGATGATAGCCACTCTGATGCTGCAGAATGGTTTTGAGCTAGGGTTCGGATTGGGAAGAATTCCCAAGAAATTATTGAGCCTATTCAGGTCCTTGTTATGGTATCTAGATATGGTTTGGGGTACATAACCACAAATGATGACTTGAAGATGAAGAAGAAAAATGATCAAGCCTTGACTAAGCCGATCCCACATCTACATCAATCCTTTCCAATCCGGATGTATGCCGAGCATGAAGACCTTATGGAATGAATCTGTGACCTCTTCGAGGAGATCGATGTTGTTGTCGAGGAAAAGGTCGAGCTAGCTGGTATTCGCGATGCAGTACCAGGGGAGGTGCTGCTAAACTGGACTTCCACGCCGATTCTGATACCCCAAACTCTTTGGTACAAAGGCGTCATTTCATGCACATTAAAATCGGTGATAGTTTAGATGAGGCCCAAGACCCACCATTTTAACATTTTCTTAACTGTTCATATTTTCAAATTTTCATTGTGATGTTCAAATAAGGAAACATGGCCCATGCCATGGCAAAAATTTGCATTTTTTTAAATGAAAGCCTCTTTGTTTTTAACATTATTTATTTAGTTTTTTGTTATATCTTACTTTCCTAATCTTTTTTTGTTTATTATTTCAGTAACTTTAAGTTACAGACCTGCCAATGTCATGTCATGTCACGAGCTAAATGAACAAAATGAGACAGGTGACGACAAGGTTGACGATTATGAAGAAGAATGTGGGGAACAAAATTATGTCGCCTATGAGTATCGGAAGTTCGAGAATCAACATACACCAAATCTAGATGAAACAGAAGTGGTGAATTTGGGAGATCCAGAAAATGTCAAAGAAATTAAGATCAGCATCCACCTAAATGAAGCTCAGAAAGAAGTCCTAATTCATTTGCTTGCTGAATATATTGATGTGTTCATCTTGGAAGTCGGTGACATGCAAGGGTTGAGTAACGATGTCGTATCCCATAAGCTGCAGATTAATCCGGGTTCGATCCGGTAAAGCAAAAAATTTAGAAATTCAAGACTGAACTGAGTTTAAAAATTCAAGAAGAGATCACCAAGCAAATTGAGTTCCATTGCCGAATATTAATATTTTGATAGACAATTGTGTTAGGCATGAACTGCACTCAATTGTGGATTGTTAAGTGGGTTATCATCAGATTCTAATAGATGAAGAAGACACAGAAAAGTGGTTTTAATTACGCCTTGGGGTTTCTATCATTAATGAGTGATGTCGTTAGTCCTCAAGAATGCCAGTGCCACCTACATGAGAGCTATGACGACCATTTTTCGCGACATACTTCATAAGGAGATCAAAGTGTATGTGGATGACATCATCATCAAGTCCCGCAAGAGTTTGGACAACTTTACACATCTAAAGAAAATTATTTGATTATCTGCATCGTTACAACTTGAAGTTGAATCCCTCCAAATGCGGTTTTAGAGTTCAAGCCAGGAAGTTGTTGGAATTTATAGTAAGCAAAAGGGGTATTGAGCTGGACCCTTCTAAGATTAAAGCAATTCAAGAGTTACCTCCACCGTAGATGAAAAAAGAGGTGATGAGTTTCTTAGGGAGGTTAAATTACATAAGACGATTCATAACTCAATCAGCCGTGGTGTGTGAGCCTATTTAAGGGTTGTTAATGAAAGACACCCCGACAAAGTAGACTAAAGAGTGTTAGACTTCTTTTGATGCTATCAAGAACTATTTGTCCAATCCACCGGTATTGGTTCCTCCGCGAGAAGGGAGTCCTTTGTTGTTCTACTTGTCTGTCTCAGATAGTGCATTCAGATGTGTACTTGGTCAACACGACGAGAAAGGAAATAAGGAAAGGTCTATCTATTATATAATCAAGAAGTTTACTCCATACAGTCTCATTACACTTTGTTTGAGAGAAAGTGTTATGGTTTGACGTTGCTTGCCCAGAATTTGAGACATTATTTGTCTTTCTATAATACATACCTCATTTCCAGAATGGATCCACTGAAGTATATCTTCCAAAAGGCGATGCCGTCTGGAAAGTTAGCTAAGTGGCAAATGAGGTTGAGTGAATTTGATATTGTGCATGTGACTTCGAAAGCGATAAACGTACAGGCTTTGGCTGATCATCTTGTAGAAAATTCCGTTGATGAAGAGTACGAACAACTTAAGACTTATTTTCACCACGATGAAGTGTCATTTGTGGGTGAGGATATTTCTGAGGCATATCTAGGTTGGAGATTATTGTTTGACGGAGCGACAAATCATCAAGGTAAAGGTATTGGAGCAGTCTTAGTGTCAAAATCTGGTAAGCACTACCCCATGGCGTCTAAGCTCAAATTTAATTGCACAAACAACATGGCCCAATACGAAGCTTATATTCTAGGGTTGAAGATGGCCATCGACATGAATGTCAACGAGTTGTTGGGTATTGGATATTCAGACCTTTTAATTCATCATGTTCAAGGAGAATGGGATGTGAAGAACCCAAATATTATACCTTATGTACAAAACTTGCAAAAGTTGTGTAAACGATTTTGTATGATTGAGTTAAGACATACTCCCAAAATACAATATGAATTGGCAGATACTCTGGACACCGTCGCTTCAATAATTAAACATTCTGATACAGATTATATTGATCCTCTAGATAGAGGGTTGAAAGAACATCCAGTCCATTATTCCCCTATTGAAGCAAAACCAGACGGTTTGCCTTGGTATTTTGATATAAAGAAGTATTTGGAGTTTTGAACTTATCTCGAAGATGCTACGTCCAATCAGAAGAAGTCGATACGCCATATGGATCTCAATTTCTTTCTAAGTGGAGAAGTCCTATATAGGAGGACTCAAGACTTATATAAGAGGACTCAAGACTTAGGTCTTCTCAGATTTGTCGATGTCGTTGAAGCTGCAAAACTGATTGAGCAGATACATGCTGGAGTTTGGTGTACGCATATGAATGGGATCACTTTGGCAAGAAATATCCTACAATCCGGGTATTTCAGGATGACTATGTAGAATGATTTTTTCAAGTTTGTGCAAAAATGCCACAAATGTCAAGTGCACGATGATCTGATACAAGTGCCTCCTCATGAACTTCACGCTATGAGTTCACCTTGGCCATTCGTAGCTTGGGGAATGGATGACATCGGTCCGATAGAGCTAGCCGCTTGTAATTGACATAGATACATTTTGGTTGCCATTGATTATTTCACTAATTGGGTGGAAGAAGCTTCTTACAAGTCAGTAACCAAGAAAGTTGTGGTTGATTTTGTTTGCAACAATCAAATATGAAGAATATCAAAAGATTTTCGGGCAAATCTTAACAATCACTTGATGAGAGAGATATGTGAGAAATTTAATCTTACTCATCGAAATACAACTGTTTATCATCCCCAAATGAACAAAGTTTTAGAGGCCGCCAATAAGAATATCAAAAGATTTTGAGAAAAATGATTGACAAACATCGAGGTTGGTATGAGATGTTACCATATGCTTTATTGGGATACCGCACGACTGTCAGAACATCAACTGGAGCCACTACATATTTGCGAGTATACCGAACAGAAGCAATCATACTTGCTGATGTTGAGATACCGTCTTTGAGAATAATCCAAGAAGCTGAGTTAAGTAACGCTTAATGGGTTAGCAAGTTGATTGAACAACTAACTTTGATTGATGAAGTGTGAATTTTTGTCGTCTGTCATGGTCAATTGTATAGGGAAAGAATGGTTTGTACCTTTCATAAGAGATTAAGAGCCAGAAATTTTGAGGTTGGTCAGTTGGTTCTTAAGTGTATTTTTCCTCATCAAGACGAGTACAAAGGAAAGTTTTCACCAAACTCGCAAGGACCTTAAATTGTTCACAAAGTATTATCTGGAAGTGCTTTTGTCATGTCGAAGATGGATCGCAGTGTAAAGTCTAAACCTATCAATTCAACTGCTGTCAAGAGATACTATGTGTGAAGCTTCAATTTGCATTTCTGCTATTTACTTCTAATCATTCTTTTTTATTGTATTTGTTTTGCTTAAATTTTACCCCTCTTGTAATGAATTACGTCTGAACTGAATTCTCAAGAATGAGATACGTAGGTGGCCTATGTGAGCTTTAGTCACCCCATTTATCCCCTTTAATCATTTCTTTGTATCTGAACTGTGTTAGACCTGAATTCTCAAGAATGAGATACATAGGCGGCCAATGTCGGCCTCGGTCAGTTTTCTTTGTAAATGCTTTTTATTTTGTTAACCTTTGACGGGAACTACTTTTGACCTGATTCCTGTCTCAACAGGATACGCAGGCGCCACAAGGGCTCGGCCGTATCTCCCGTAAGATTTCTATTCCTCTCTTCAATAGAAACTGGGACAAAATTTTTGAGAGGGACTCAAAAATTCTCGTAAAGAAGATTCTTCCTCAGCATGTAAAGACAGAAGATATTTCGAGATTTGCAACTGGGATCGAATTTTTTAGAAGATCTCAACAATAGCGCAATCTGCTCAGTTTAAGTGAAAAGATAAGCAAGACATTAATTGGGATAGAAATTTTAAGGATGACATCAAAATTTAATCATGGATTTATCTGCAAGTCTGGAGCAACTCAAAAAACGCCCTAGCAAATCATCAGATAGGCCTTCAAGCATCAGACTCAAAGATGTTTGCTAAGCCTGATATGACATGACTTGGCAGATACTTTTGTTTAGATACTATCTCTCGAAAATTTATTTCTCATAAATTATCCCTTTTATGTTTTGTTTGTTTTGGCATAAAATACTTTGTCTTATCTATCAAGATTCGGGAGATCAGGAAATCAAACGGACATAGCAAGACAAGGAACAAATAACTGAAGAAATCGACACAGATTAGTTCATTTTTCAAACTAACAAATTTTCTGTGGACGCAGGTTTATAGTTTTTCTCTGAAATCAGCATATTCTTCCGATGAATGAATATGGAAAGGTCCAAAGAGGAGAAAACTATCCCAAACTCAATAGTTTTCCTAGAAGCAAGAGACATTTTATATCTCGTATGTCAGAGATTTGGGGATATGAATTGTTTATTTTAATAAATATCCAACGACATGAAATTTATAAAGGACATCATTTGCATCATAATGTCGGATATAATACTATGCATTACCCGGAGGGGGTTAGCTAGTTTATTATCAATCTATACGATATATTACCTGGAAGACGTTTTACCGTTTTCATCGTTGGAGGTGATATAATTATTCATGCATCGCGAGTCAATACTCAAGCATTGTGGAATATCATGCATTGTGAGTCAAGATGTGTGCATCATGGAAAATCATGCATCACGAGTCAATACGAAAGCATCGTGTAAAATCATGCATCATGACTTAACACAAGTATCGTAGATCATGCATCGCGCGTCAATACTCATGCATCGCGGAAGATCGTGCATTGCAAGTCAACAGTCATGCACTGCGGAAGACTATGCATGCGAGACGGTTTCATATGCATCGTGAGAAGATTTCATGCCTCACAGAAATTATGCATCGCAAGAAGATTTTATACCTCGCAAATTCATGCATTACGGGAAGATATTCATGTCCCGTAAGAAATCACGCACTACCGGAGAAGGAATCATGCATCCAAACAGAAATATTAATCCGTTGACATCAACAACATTCTTTTATTTTGATTAAAGTAAACAACACGAAGAGTACATCGACATCAAGAGAAGCATCATCACTGCATCATCTTCCATTTATGGTGACATCAACAAGAAGAGTACATTGACATCAAAAGAAATATCATAATCGCATCAGCATTTATTTATTTAGACATCATGTAATGAGTACATTCGAGATTACGTTGCAAAAGACCAAACATAAACTTTATTTGCTTTTTGTCAGACCGATCGAGTTGACATCACATGTTGCGAGAACAATTGAGTGTCGACATGGTAAAAGGAACTGTCTCCCATCCTAGTTACATTTTTTTAAGCTGACGAGTTTTATCTCAATCTTTTTCGAGGGCATCCGAAAGGATGAATTCTCTAAAAACCACAGGTGCGGACAATGTCAAAAGGGACACAACACAACATGGAACTTTTTCTTAGCAGCGAACTGGGACAAAGTCCATAGAGGATTGCCAAACTCTTAGTACGCTAGCACAGGAGCGACATCCACCACAATTAAACCACAACCCTATCAAAAGGCATGTGGGTTTTCCTTTGAGTTTCGTTTTTTTCAGTCTCGCATGTGGAAATTTTGATCTACCGAAAGCAAGTTTCCAATCTAAGTGAGAGTGTGCCAAGAGTTTGGAAATTATATCCGTGTAAGTTCTTACCCATGGATGTGAGCGCACCACATTCATGGCTAAGAGATTACGAGCTTTTTTTTCATACTTATTTAACTTGTCACTTGTCCATAACCAAAGGTTATGTAGCATAATAGATTTCCTTTTCAAATGATTGAGTTGAACTACAGGCAGCCTGATTCCTATTATATAAGGATATGTAGGTGAACTAAACATCGAAAACTCCGCAGGATTCTAACATTCGCTCACAAATCTTATTCTCGAGCATTTCGTTACCTTCATTACAAGGTATCGGGGTTGCTTGTGAATTCATTCAAAATCGTACGTTAAATTAAGCTTGTTGAACTTCAAGCGGCCTGAACTCTCATGGAAACCATTTTGCGGAGTTCGGCCATAATTCTTAAGTACGTACCTAATTTAATCGAAAAGAGGAATTTGTGGTTGGTCAAAATATGATTCGTCAATTTCATTTACCTAGAATTGCTTGCATCAATCCAAGTAAAATGAGGGACAGAGGTTGAAACCCAATTTTAACCCTCCGCAATAAATTATTTCACGAGCTTCTTAATTACCAAACTATTGAGAATAGTAACTGTATAAAATTCGAATACTCTTCAAAGTTATTTTTGTGATCTTAATCGATTGTCATAAGTTTTAATTAGTAAAATATTTCATAGGGTTGTACAGATATAATTGGTATATTTAATAAATGTTTGGAAGTCATGTTAATAGTTTTTATTTTAATTAAAATGCTCATTTAAATTAATCTAACTTAAGTAATTAATAACTTTGAGTTTTTTTTGGTTCATTAAGTCAACTATTTTATTCCGTTGGAATTAAGAATTTTGTTAATTGATATATGTTAATTCGTCTTATCTAAAAATTAATATATTTGGCCATTTAAAAGTCAATTTCGTTAAATTAATGATCCGCTTGTCCATTTAATAAAGATGTTTTGGGTCGTCTTCTTCTGAATTTTTCTTTTTTTTCGATAACTTTTACCCATTCCCAAACACCCAATTCCCTTTAATCATAAAACCTTGGGCCCTTTCTTCTTTCCCAAAATCACCCAAGCCCAAAATAATTTTTTCAGAAGAGCCGCCCCAACCCAACCTTGTAACTCGACCCATTTCTTCCAGTTTGTTTCTCTTTCCGCGAAGGAAACCCAGATAAGTGTGACAAATGAAAACAATCCAAGCACGCGCATGATAAGGACACAATGTCTTCGCGCTTAGTCCCAAAGCAAGGAAGCTCCACGCGTGAGCGACACCAGGCGCGTCTCAATGTCTCCATTCCCTTGTGCTCGTACAACAACCTTCAACTTTGTCCTTGACTCTCGTTGATAGAGACCACGTCGAGTGCAAGGACGATTAGGTTAAATCGAAGCAATCCATTCCTACGTCCTCCCAATTTGGAGTGATTCTAGGGTGGAATTACAATTAAAAAAACAGTTGTCTGTTGTCCTGGGAAGTTTT